AATTTCTCTAAAAACTAAAATAAAACTTTGTAAATGTATCTCTCCCACATTCTATTTAGGAAGATAAACAATAAAGCAATAAATATGTAATGCAAAACTGCAAAAGGAAACAGGGACAGATTCTGATAGCGGTAGAATATGTACAATCCAGGAAGATTTGGGCTTCAGAATTAACGGAATGTGAAGCTTGGGAGATACATTAATCAACTATTATATACTTCTAAGAAAAATGGTGCTTGGGTGGCAGGAGAAATCACCAGATTCAGAATAAACTTTGGATGCAATTTTCTCATGATTTCTAAATAAAATACTAAGGAAGGAAAAGAATCAAGACTACTTTGAGGTGATTATATTTTTCCCATGCATATTAAACCTGAAGAGAAACTTAAATATATATGTGCCCATGGGAGTATATGTAATTCTGAAACAAAATAAACCCAATAATTTATGTATGTCTGGGTTCACTAAATTTCCACACTGTAGTTGAATAAATGCTACCTAACATGTTCCTTTTTATATCACATTCTGTAGTCTGGTCTAAAATTTCTAGTTTCATATGCAGGTAATATTTATAGGATATTAGTAACTATGGAATAATCTAGCAGATTGTAGATTTACAAGAATGTGTTGGGAGAATGTGAAATGATGTTCCAAAGTCCTAAAACTACACTAAAATACCTAATAAATCTAATTTTGTTGCAATATATCCATATATCATAACTTTTGTAATTCCACATTAATCTTCTGTGGAACTATTTCCATATTATTCAAAATTTCTCAAAGTGTTTTTCCCATGCTACTTGTTTTTGTCAGTTAAGAAGGCAAATAATTTTATGTTTGAACATGTGGGTAATATATACTCATTAAGTCTGAAAACAGATAAAGACTCTATTGAGGTTGAATATGTTGAAATGTAACTGATTGAAATGAAACTGCACATTCAAGTTCTCAGATAGGAAGCTGCAAAGATAGTCCTCCTACAGAAATGTTTACTGTCAGTTGGTAAGCAATAGTGACCCCAGACCACACAGTAGAACTGAAAATCCGCCAGCCAGTACTGCTGTAAGGCAGATTCAAGTTTTAGGATAATAGAACATAAAGTTTGGTCAGGTAAATAGTGTACTAGAGAAAATTGAAGTAGACAGAATTGGAGTTGGATTATTATAGAAATGTTAAAAATATATTGCAAGATAACAATTTGAGTTTAATGATCTAAAGAGAACATATTTTGTTTTGTTCTGTTTGTCAGTCATGGGGCTTGAACACTCTTCCTAAGCTGCTTCTGCTCAAGGGTAGGGCTCTATCACTTTGAGCCACACTGGCACTTCCAGTTTTCTGGTGGTTAATTGGAGATATCTCAGGGACTTTCCAGGCTAAGCTGGCTTCAAACATGACTCTAAGATCTCAGCCTCCTGAGTAGCAAATATTACAAGTGTGAGCCACCGGTGCCCAAGTAGATAATACAGTTTTTAAGTATACAAATTAGGCACAAATATTGGGTACCAATGTCATTAAAAGCTAAGAAAGAATTATCCATATCCTTAGATTCATGATATTTTGCGGAATGAAACATGGAGTTGATTAGTAGTTATATACAGTCGCAATTACGCACACAATTCTGGGGGCAATGCTGCCAGGTGGCCCAGTGTTTGTATTTGGCTAGTGAAAGAGAGCACAGTTCTTACACGCAGAGGAAATAAAAAGAGATGAGCAGCAGGATTTCATGTAATGAGAATTGTTCTCACCAATAGACTAAAGCCCAGCAGTCTGTAAACTTGTATAGCCTAGCCAAAGACAACTGTAGGAGAGAGAGATAAGGAGCTGGGCCTGCAGATTCTAGGAATGGAATGCAGGGAAAATGAAAATAATTGACTATGATGTAATTCAAGGAGTGTCACTAGGCCCTCTTAATATAGGAAGAAGGTAGAAATCCACTTCCAAGGGGTACAATCTAATATGAAGGAATTATGTTTTTCAACTGGAAAAAATGCAGACTCCAGTTCGCAGACCTTGGGGGACAACAAAGACAGAACAGAAATTAAAATCAAAGAATGGATCTTCAACTACAGTGCCTAGCTTCTTTCATTGCCACCATGTAAAAGCAGTGTTCAATTTAGAGTCAGAAATCAAGTTGCATTTAACAGCTTGGGCAAGCCTCAAGGCCACAATTAAGAAGTGAGTCATGCTAGAAACATTGTCTTCCAGTGCCAATCACCTTTCTAAACTACCTTCTTTACATTGCAATGCCTTTCATTATATGTGTCTTTATGTGTGTGCTTTGGTCACTGCACAAACGCTAATAACTTCAAAATTCCTTTATATCCAAATGTCAGCCAGACATCAGTGTCTGAAGCTCTTCTGTTTTTATTCTCTCATTGTGAATCTTTTTTTCTTTCACTTTGCATGATTTTTTCCATGTACAGGGTTTATCTTGTATTTCAATTAGTTTAAGAGGTCAGAGTTTCAAAGACTTATTTTCAATCAATATTTAACCCTGAACTTGAGAAAAGGTAAAATAACAGGGCGTAATGTTTATACTTATCTTTGTTACTATCATTGCATTTACCTAATAATGTAGTGGTGTGATTTTTTTCAAAGCTACTACAGATTTTTTTTGAAAATCCTGTCTTAATTGTAATTGATAAATTCACAATGTATTACTTTATTTTGAACACTATTTCAAAAAAATTATTTTTTTGTCTGTCGCAGGGCCTGAACTCTGGGCCTGGGTGCTATCCCTTCGCTCTTCAGCTCAAGGCTAGCGCTCTACCACAGCACCACTTCCAGCTTTTTCTGCTTATGTCATGCTGAGGAATAGAACCCAGGGCCTCATGTACGGGGGGCAAGTACTCTACCACTTAGCCACCTTCCCAGCCCCTCAATAAGATTTTTTAAGATCTCTATTTTTACATGTATTCTAGTGTGTCTTCAGGGATTCAAATATTTGCCACTCAGTATGTTTTCCCTCTTATCATTCTCTTATAGAGACAGTTTTTATCTTTATATCATGTATCATGTTTTACATTTCAATACATATCATTCATTCAGCAATTAGTCCCCAAAGAAGTAAACTGAATCAAAACACTGATATTTGAATTAGTATTAGTGATGCAATCCACTAACAAAACAGTTCATCAAATGTCTTTGTCATCAACAAAAAACCACATAGATAACCATGTGGTTCTTTTCCCTGCTCTTCTTGATGTGATGAATTATATTAATTGATTTGCATATATTGAACCAGCTTTGCATCCCTGAAATGAATCCTGTTTGATCGTGGTGTATGATTTTTTGGATGAATTCTTGAAGTCGATTGGCCAACATTTTGTTGAGAAGTTTTTGCATCAATGTTCATCAAAGAAATGGGTCTACGGGCTGGGAAGGTGGCTCAGTGGTAGAGCGTTTGCCTTGCATGCGTGAGGCCCTGGGTTCAATTCCTCAGCACCACATAAGCAAAAAAGAAAAAAAGCTGGAAGTGGCACTGTGGCTCAAGGGGTAGAGTGCTAACCTGAGCTGAAGAGCTGAGGGACAGCGCCCAAGCCCAGAGTTCAAGCCCCACGACGGACCCCCCCAAAAAAAAGAAATGGGTCTATAGTTCTCTTTTCTTTGATGAGTCCCTGCCTGGTTTGGGGATGAGAGTTATGATGGCTTCATAGAATGAGTTTGAAAACAGAAACTGTCAGACAAGTTGATGTTAGGCCAAATGAACCCCAAGATAAGGATTCAAATGTTTTTTTTTCTTTCTTGCGATTGTTTCCAAGATATTTATAAGATGATTTCTTTGTTGTTTTGTATGTCCCTCCCCCAAGGTATAAGCCCTGCTTTCACTGTATTTAATGTTGATATAATTTGTGGAGGGGAAGGGAAAAAACAAACTGTTTAAATAGGGTTACAGTTGGACCTATTACAAGAATGAGATATACAAAACGTTATGTCGAAAAACGAACTTACAAATTTGGCAGGGTGGGGAGAATGGGGGATGGGGGGGTGGTAGTAGGGTGGATAGGAGTGGTGGGGTGGAGAGAGGAAGGGATGATATGAGGAAACAAAAGAGGAGGCAACAATGCTTGATAAGAAATGCACTCACTATCTTGCCCATGTAATTGTAACCCCTCTGTATGGTATTTTCACAATAATAAAAAACAAATCAAAAAAAACACATAGATACATTTAACTATGTGAAAAACTCAAAGTCTAAAAATTACTATCATACCATAAATACCACAAATATTGAACAATGAAGGCAATTTGGCCAAGAAAATAAAATACAAGCTTTATAAACTATGTTTTTGACTCTCTCAAGTAATTGTGAAGAAAAATATATAATTAGCTTACATCTACCACCTGACTACATTACAGTCTTGATAATTCATTGCTCTATCAATAATAATTATTATACTTTTAGAGTTTGAATATAGGGCTGTGTGCTTGTTTGGCAGATGCTCTACCTCTTAAGTCACATGCCATCATTGTTTTGCATTAAGTACTTTCCAGTTAGGGTCTCATGCTTTTGAATGGGATTTGCCTGGGATCATGGTTTTCATGCCTGTGCTTCTAACTTAACTTTGAATACAGATGTGAACCACCTTACCAAACTAACTTTAGGTTGGTTCTGAACTGCAGTTTATTTTAATGTCTACCTCCCAACTAGCTGGGATTACAGGCAATGAACCACCATGCTTGACCATAATCTTCAGGTAATGAGTATAAAGATGATATTAAAAAAATGTTGTTTTTCATAAGTATTATATATAATAAAATTTTTATTTTCTCCAACCCTGAAAACTAACTTCTGTCATTGATATAATGATCAGTTAAATAGCAATCTTAATTTTCTATTCTATGTAAAATGGAGGTTTAGATATGACGCAGCAAAGGACATGAAAGACCGATGGTTAAGTTCTTAGTGTTTAATATAATAATAAATTCCAACATTTCTTCCAATTTTGTAAGTAAAATGCCTGGAAAAACACAACCTGTAGGATGAGAAAGAAACTTACCTTATTACAAAATTGTGGCTGTCAATCTCCTTTCCACATCCACTGTCCAGAAGAATGCCAGAATTTCCAACAACCGCACAGGTTTTAAACCTGCGATTTTTCATTGGTGAAACTTCTGGTAGGAGGCTGTGCAAATCCTGAGAAATGTTGAGGGTCCTGCGTCGATCCAACACATAGTGGATGACATCACCAGGCTTAAAGCTACTCTTGACCACTGAGACATCTCGCTCTGCATCTAAGAAGCGAAGAATGTTCTTCCTGCAGGAAATCCAAGAAAAGCTTTGCGTTAAGGACATATCCAACATCTGGCAACTCCATTTACAAAATAACATGTAAAACAGACTAATAAACTACTAATTTCAGGTGGTAATTTAATCATCCAATTCTATAGGAATAGATTCTATTGGAAATTATAATCTGCTTTAAAAAATATCTTTCTTGTAAGGTTTGCAATTTTTTTGGTAAACGAAAGTTTATATTGCCATTTGTGATACGAAAAGTAAACAGATTTCATTTATAAGATAAGCTAAAGAAAAGTTAGTTTATTGTATATAATAGTTAGGATGACTAGACTTTGTATAATTAAATATTCAATTTTGTTATTCAATTTTGTGTAGTCATTTTTAATGTTGTCTAGTTAAGGTAAATGGAAATAGCTCAAAATTATGTTGAATTATACTACAGTGAACACTATTAAAAAGATTTCCCAGTGAACATCATATTTATGCAGCTTGTGCATTTTGTAAATATAATTAAAATTGTAGCACTAAATGTCTATGAAATTTTTCTTCCAAATTCGAGCATAGAGGACATAATTTGAGCAGAATCAATGAAATAGCTTTGGACTATGTATTAGAGATAGTTGACTGTTTTTTGTCTTTTGTACCCTTTTTCTTTTCCGTATTTGACTCTGAAATTTTCCATGGGCAATAGAAGTCATCTGGATAGTTCCAAATTTTTAAATCCAAGTCCACTGAGTACATTGTAGAATGGTCACAAAATTACTTTTCTTAAAGGAGAAATGCCTATATGAAATACATGAGGACATGAAAGAAATAAGCTTCTCAACCAGCTTATCTGACCATTGTACTTTAAGATCTCTTTTTAATTAGTGACTTAACTGATGAAATCCTCAATATTACATTGTTCATGGATGTGAGAACCTATGCAAACACACACACACACACAAAAGCAAGTAACCAGGTACTTGTATTAATAACTAGGTATAAATAAATAGATAGATAAGAAAACATACAGCAGAAAACTGCCAGTATTGCGAAAGTTAAGCACAATTTTAAAAGGCACCTGATAAATCTATTGGTGTCTCATAACTTGGAAATCATACAATATATCTAATCAATATGTTGCCCTTGGAAACTTGGTTTACATGTTGGATTATGTTAGTTTCTGCTTTTTAGTAAGACACTGAAAGTTGAAAGCTGGGATGAAAAGGCTTGGACCTCCAGCAATTGTCTAGACTTCTAAAGATGGAGTGTAATCTATTATTTGTGTGGGGCATCTAATTAAGTGATACTCAAGGAGTTTCCCAACTAGCAACAGAAATGACCATGAACTGAAGGTATCCCAGCAAGAAGAAGCGTTCTAACTTTCCATGTAACTCTATAGATTCAACTGACATTAAGTTGGAGAAGGAAGGGACAGATTACAATAATTAAAGTTGTCTTAGTAACTATGTACAGAAGAAATCTTTGTAATATATAAAACGAGTGAAATCACAAAACTGATAGAAATACTATCCAACACCATCATGATTTATTTTAAAAGAATACAGATTACAAGAGAATTATTGTTGAAATCAGCAACTATGGGTTTATAAATTGAAAATCTACAGAAGTCATTCATTCTAGGAAGAGCACAGTGATTCTACACCCAAAGTGGAAAATATATGTTTTAAGAAAAACCATTAACATAGACTCATTAATAACCATTTAGTTGGGGGGAAATGGTGAAAACTTTAGCACATGTATTTCAACCAAAATTTATTTCCTGTGAAAATGACAAAGCGGGCTCTAAAGCAGAGACTGCACGGATGTGGTTTGGTTGTCAGCTAGATGATGTTACCATTTTCGTTTGAGCAGAATTTAAATGGATTGCTGTAGAAGGCTTTGAAGATGTCTTCAACCAGTACTGGCTTGGTTGGTGAGTAGGTTAGAGGTGAAGTTAGAAAAGAGGATTTTGGTAGCTCAGAAATACAAAAGAGAAAAGCCCTTTCAGCTGGTCATAAAGGCCACACTGCCTTTATTAGTAATTAGTAATGAAAGGGACTTTCCAGTAACAGTGCCTTTTCTGTGGCATAAAACAATTAGCAGCAAAACACCTTAAAATATGTCTTATAAACACCATAGTTATGCATCTTTATCAAATTTATTGGTAGAAAAATTGATGTTAAAATAATACTAAAGGGGTAGATCAATTTTTTTTTTTTTTTTTGTCAGTCGTGGGGCTTGAACTCTGGGCCTGGGCGCTGTCGCTCAGCTCTTCAGCTCAAGGCGAGCACTCTACCACTTGAGCTACAGCGCCACTTCCAGTTTTTTCTGGTGGTTTATTGGAGATAGGAGTCTCACGGTCTCTCCTGCCCGGGCTGGCTTTGAACCTCGATCCTCAGATCTCAGCCTCCTGAGTAGCTAGGATTACAGGCGTGAGCCACCAGCGCCCAGCGAGTAGATCAATTTTTAAAGTAAATGATTCTATCTCTTAGAAGAAAATACACTCATTTGAGTAGCTCTTAAGATGGCTATAAATTGTGTATTTTTCCAGCTCATTGGTAATTTATATTTTTAATAGTAGCAGCAACCATAGTAAAAGTGCCTTTCAAAGCAAATTTTTTGGGGGGAAGTGCAGTTGTAGAGGTGGGAGGAAAGGGATGGTAGGGGAAAAACAAAGGAGAAGGCAACAATGCTCATGTAACTGTAACCCACTATACAGTATTTTTACAATAAAAATGTATTACAATAAAAATAAACAAATAAATTGAAAATTAATTTAAAAAATACTGTGAATACAAAAAGGCTTATCAAAATATAAAAGTCAAAGTTTTGGGACCAAAAAAAATTTTTGTCTTGTTAAAATGACAAAAGGGATGATGTCAGTATATCTTTTTCTTACATATATCCAATCATTTAATCCTTAAATATGTACAAGAAAAAATATCTGATATTAATGCATAGAGGACTGAAAACAATTATCAGTAAACAATAAAGAAATGTACTCAACGCATTATCCTGCCATGTAATTGTAACTCCTCTGTACAGTATGTTCACAAATAAAATAAAATTAAATTAAAAAATAAATTAAAAAACTAAAAAAAAAATAGTAGGAATGAAAGTTAAGTAAGGGCGAAGGGCCAGAGAGTGCTTAATTAGACGAATTAAAGTAGGTATACAATTTAAACATTTTGGTATTTGCATGGGGAAAATTATGGCATGTAAAATACTCCACAGTACTAAGGGAACTCCCCTGTGTCTCTTTCTTATCAAGGTTACTTCTCATTCTGTGCAGTTTATTCCATTTATTTTTCCACAGTCATATTTCCCTTGCTATATTATCCATGTCCCTCAGTGATTGAGAAACTACCTTTATGCATATTTTTATCCCCTACATTGTCTAGTGTGGTGTTTGCTCAGAACAAGCTGCTCAATAAACATCTCTAAATCAAAAAAAAAAAAAAGAAAGAAATGTACTCATTATCTTGCCCATGTAATTGTAACTCCTCTGTACGGTATTTTCATAATAAAAATTTTTTAAAAAGCAATAATGTGACTTAAGTAAATAACTTTTGAAATTGTAAAGAAAGACTAAAAATATTTTTTTAGTTACAGATGTATATAAAAGTTCTGTGAAAGCCCATCACCAGTGGCTTATGCTTGTTATCCTAGCGACTAGAAAGCTGAGATCTGAGGGTTACAGTTCAAAGTCAGTCCAGGTAGAAAAGTCCTTAAGACTCTTATCATAACTAACCACCAGAAAACCAGAAGTGGAGCTGTGGCTTAAAGTGGTAGAGCACTAGTCTTGACTGAAGAAGCTCAGAGACAGTGCACAGGCCCTGACTGACAAAAATAAATAAATAAAAGTTCTGTGAATTAGAGAAGTCCAGCTTTTCAGACTATAAGTATGTGGAGAAATAAAAGGATAAAAACATCTATACTTTATAAATATAAGTAACTGTTATTAAAAACATGAAAAACTTTTGTGCTTAAAAACTATGAGCTGAAAGATTCCTAGTTTCACGAAGTATGCTTTTGTTAACATAATTGTTAATGAATTTAGCAGCAAGCTAAACAAATGATTTCAGAATTGAACTCAACTTCTAAGCTCCAAAAAAAAACTATAACCAGCAAGAGCAAATGATAACTATACAGGCTGTATCTGTACATGTTGATCTAATATGTGGTCAAGTTACTAAAAAATATTCTAAGAGGTTTTCTGTGTGTGACATAAAAGAACAATGAAAAATTACTGGTAGGTCTGTAACTGTCATTTGATGTTAACGCAGCTTTGAACGTTGCTTTAGACAGCAAACATTTACATCCAGTAACTGTTCCAATGTTGTAGATAAATGAAACCATCTGAAGATGCATTTCACTCTCAGTGGGACCAAGATTCTTAGTCATAATTAACTTTTTGTGAAGTAAACGCAGCTTAAGCTGAAAGGTTGGTTTCGACTGTTAAACTGACAGAAATAGAAACTGAACAGAAACTTTTCAACTGAATTTTCAAATAGAACTTCCCATTTAATATCATCCATCACTGCAAATAGCAGCCTGAGTCCCAGACAATTAACTACACAATGTTTTCACTTATGAAATGTTAAATATAGCTAGCCGGTTACCAGATACCACTCTTTCCTCTCTGTAAGTTTCTTGCCAACATCAAGCACATGTATGCTAGCAACTAAAATTCAATTTAAAAGGCATTAACCTGGTCAGAAAGTTTTGTGTGATGTATCTTAGATCTGGAATATATCACGACTTGGAAAGCAAATAAGGTTGTGAGCCATGTATTAAGAATCAGTATTTGCACGTGTTAGGCAGTGACTGAGAGCAAAAATAAATAAATAAATAAATAATATAGGAGTTCATTTGATAATTGCATAGAACAAAATGCCTCAAAAAATACCAAGTGTTTTTTTTCATGTCTACAAATAGGTTGTCTTAAAAGATAACTCCAGCAAACCAATTTGTTCTGAAAGGATGGAACGAGTAGATTGTTTATGATGTCTGTTTGTAGGGTACTAACTATTATAGTAAGATATATAATATCAAATATCACACTGGAAGAAAAACTCACACTTGAAAAAAAATATTGTAGTATCATTTACTTCTTGGGCTATCATCTGGTATTTGCTCCAGAACTTGGTAAAATTGGATGAGTGATGTATTTTATAATCTCAGATTTAAAAATGTCATGTACTCCTTAAAGATGCACTTTAATTGTTTTCTTTTTTATTGTTAAAATACATCCTTCCAAGCTAGTGACTTGTTCTGTAATAAGACTCTGCCCAACAATCAGGCAGGACTGAGTTTCAATCTTGTATCTGCCATTCTATAAGCTAGATAAGCTTCATGCCTTAAGATTAATTCTAGAGGTCACCTATTTACTAAAGTAAGTAGAAGATGGCTTCAGAATTGTGTAGAGATCTTTCTCCAAAGTAAATCTGTGATTGTAATATGAAGTTCTTTTTTTTTTTTAGAAAGCCTATATAGTTAACCCACAAGTCTTTTTTTTTAATTATTTTTATTGTGAAAATACTGTACAGAGGGGTTACAATTACATGGGCAAGATAATGAGTACATTTCTTATCAAGCATTGTAGCCTCCTCCTTTGTTTCCCCTTCCCATCCTGCCCCCACCCCCCACCCAATCCTCCACGCCCCCCCCCACCAAAGTTGTAAAGTTCGTTTTCGACATAACGACTTCTACTTCTTATTGTTGCAATGGGTCCACCTGTATCCCTATTTAAACGATTTGTTTTTCCCTTCCCCTCCACAAATTATACCGACATCAAATACAGTGAAAGCACGTTAACCCACAAATCTTATATGTTAAGGAACTTTGGTGTGACACTAAACTAAAAATATTTTTCTAACTATTCATGTGACTATGCTGTTCTGATAATAGCTGAGTTCATATATATTTTTTTTGGGGGGGGTCCAGTCATGGGGTCTGAACTCTGGGCCTGGGCGCTGTCCATCAGCTCTTCAGCTCAAGGCTAGCACTCTACCACTTGAGTCACAGCGCCACTTCCAGCTTTTTTTCTTTTTGCTTATGTGGTGCTGAGGAATCGAACCCAGGGCCTCATGCATGCAAGGCAAGTGCTCTACCACTGAGCCACCTTCTCCAGCCCCAATTTCCAATAAATTGCAACAGGCAGTGATTGCCTTGCTGAAATGTACTCTGTAAACTGCTTTGCCTGGTCCTAATTCAAATGTTGCAATTATGAAAATACCGTACAGAGGGGTTACAATTACATGGGCAAGATAGTGAGTACATTTCTTTTCAAGCATTGTTGCCTCCTCCTTTGTTTCCTCTTCCCATACCTTCCCATCTCCCACCCCCACACCCCACCCCCACCCTCCCACCCCCTGCCAAAGTTGTAAAGTTCATTTTCCCGACATAACGACTTGTGCATCTTATTGTTGCAATGGGTACACCTGTATCCCTATTTAAACGATTTGTTTTTTTTCCCTTCCCCTCCACAAATTATACTGACATCAAATACAGTGAAAGCAGGGGTCATACCGTGGGGGAGGGACATACAAAGCAACAAAGAAATCATCTTACAAATATGTTAGAAACAATCGCAAGAAAGAAAAAACATTTGCAAACTCTTCTTTTAATTTGTTTATAATCTATGTTATGTGTAGGTATGAGCTAAGAAGTGAGTAGAGTCTTGCATGGTAGCACACAACTGTAAACCAGGCAAAAGGATCAAAAGTTCATGGCCAGCTCATGCCAAATTAGCATGGTAAGACCCTGGCTCCAAAATAGCATACAAATAAAAAGGAGAGGGGTATGATTCAAGTGGTAGAGTGCTTTCATAGTATGCACAGAGAGACCTGGTTTTAATCATCTATATGAGGGGGGAAAAGAAAAGTGAGTTCATAACTCAAGCAAATGGTTCAGCCTCTTATCTTTTACCTAATGAGATACTCTTTTAAAGACTTGGTGCTTATATCTAGTATATGTCTGAGTCAAGCAGAAAAGGTCAGATAAGGTGATGTTAGGGAAATGAACCCTACGATATGTATTCAAATGTTTTTTTCTTTCATGTGATCGTTTCTAACACATTTATAAGATGATTTCTTTGTTGCTTTGTATGTCTCTCCCCCACGGTATGACCCCTGCTTTCACTGTATTTGATGTCAGTATAATTTGTGGAGGGGAAGGGAAAAAAAAACAACAAACTTTACAACTTTCATGGGGGGGGGGAGGATTGGGTGGGGGGGAAAGATGGGAAGGGATGGGAAGGGGAAACAAAGGAGGATGCTACAATGCTTGATAAGAAATGTACTCATCTTGCCCATGTAATTGTAACTCCTCTGTACAGTATATTCACAATTAAAAAAAAAAAGACTTGGTGCTAGTGTTTAAACATTGAATAATTAGCAATTTTTTTTGGGGGGGGTCTGGTCATAGGGCCTGAACTCTGGGCCTGGGCACTGTCTCTCAGCTCTTCAGCTCAAGGCTAGTGCTCTACCACTTGAGCCACTATGCCACTTTGGGCTTTTTTTTCTTTTTGCTTATGTGGTGCTGAGGAATCGAACCCAGGGCCTCATGCATGCAAGGCAAGTGCTCTACCACTGAGCCACCTTCCCAGCCCTTAATTAGCATTTTTCTAATGCTAAAAACTACAATCATATTATTGTGTACTGATTCCATTTTCCTGAAGCTTTAGAGCTCTGAATTACATATTTAAGCTAAAAGGCCTTAATTTAGACATGTTTACCAGCAATAATACAACAAAACTACAGAGGAAGATAATATGTTCCCTGTTTCCATAATTAGGTGGGTGTAGCACTAGTTTTCCTTATTAATAGGATTATAACAGAGAAAATTATTTTCCTGGATATATGTAGGTATTGAGTTTCATTTTAAGAGTTCATTTCAGCTAATGCTATCTAGTCTGGGAAATAAGGCAGAAGTACAGAAATTGTATTATCTGAGTTTTGCCCATTTTTTACATGAGCTCACAGAAACACCATCAATGGATAGATCAACTCTACTTATAATGTCAACAAAATAGAAGTTGATGATCTGTTTCATCTACTTGAGAAAACCTAAGGTCAGAATGAAGACTCAATAGGAAAAAAGCAATTCTCAAAATCTATTCTCATGCTGAGCAAATAAAAGTATCTCAAATATTAGTAATCAGTTGAATATTTTATTCTACTAGTATAAAACATTATATTCAAAATACTCATATTCATCTTTGTTTCTTGATATGACTTCATTTTTATGATTTTATTTTCTTTAGAGAGAAGTAAAACTAGTTCACATGTTATTAAAGAATTCATACATCCAGTGATCAATATAAGATGGATAGAGCTAATTAACATATTTGAGAACATGATGTGAAATTTTTGTGTCTTAGTAAAGAAACTCACCTTATCTCCAGGACCAAAGAGGAATTGATTTTCCAACCTTCTGTAGAGTGCTGGAAGATTGATGTCCCAGCTTTTCGAGTAATTTTATCAGAGCTATTGACAAGTGATCGGCTTAAACTCAATTCACCATCTCTGAAAGAAAACAAAATTACCAACTTTGTGAAAGCAAGAAGCATTTTGTCTAACTAGCACAACATTACTGTTGAAAAAAATCAAACACTATATTTTTCCTCTATTAGAAGGAAAAATCTAAGCACCATAAAAGTTGTTCTCATAATTAAATGAGGTCAAGGGTGATGGGTCTTGCATATAATCCCAGGTGCTCAGAAGGTAGAGATCAGGAGAATCACAGTTCAAGGCCATCCCTCAAAAAAAAAAAAAAGTTAGCAAGATCCATTCTCAGTCAGAATCTGAGTGTAATTGCATTTGATTCCAGATAGGAAAAAGATAAAGGTAGGAGAGTTGAAGCAAAACTATGGGACCTCTGCTGAAAAATACCTAGTGCAACATCGATACTCACAAAACAATATATTAGAAATGAACTGTACAATTGGGGTAAGCTTGGGGGAAGGGAAAGTGGGAGAAAAATGAGGGAGTGGTAACAAGTTCAACAACAAATGTACTCACTACCTTACATATATGTGTAACTCCTCTGTACATCACCTTGAAAATAAAATTATTTTTTGAAAAAAAGGTGGGGCTGAGAAGGCAGCTCAGTGGTAGAACGCTTGCCTTGCATGCATAAGACCCTCAGTTCAGTTCGATTCCTCAGCACCACATAAGCAGAAAAAGCCGGAAGTGGTGCTGTATGGTTCAGGTGGTTGAGCGCTAGCCTTAAGCTGAAGAGCTGAGGGACAGCGCCCAGGCCCAGAGTTCAAGCCCCACGACTGAAAAAGAGAGAGAGAGAGAGAGAGAGAGAGAGGGCTGAGTGCATGATAGAAGCCAGTGGAATGCCTGTTTAGCAAGCTTGAGACCCTTAGACCAAACACTGTATATGTTTCTCAAAAATAAATAAATAAGACTGCATCACAACATCCTTTTGTGGGGAGCGGGGTCCGGTCGTAGGGCCTGAACTCTGGGCCTGGGCGCTGTCCCTCAGCTCTTCAGCTCAAGGCTAGCGCTCTACCACTTGAGCTACAGTGCTGCTTCTGGCTTTTTAAAATTTCTTTTTGCTTATGTGGTGCTGAGGAATCAAACCCAAGGCCTCAGGCATGCAAGGCAAGCGCTCTACCACTGGGCCACCTTCCCAGCACCCAACATCCTTTTTAAAATGGAAGTTATTTTTATATAAAGAAAAGAGTTCATGATACTTAAAGAAAAAAATTCTTATCAAAGTCCTGCTTTCTACTTGTAACCACACCCCCACAACTAATTCTGCTTGGATGATAGAAAGAGAAAGTATCTCCTTTCATAAAAGGCACAGAAGCATAATAGGAAGAAATTTTGTTTGAATTATGGATACTTCAGAACATCAGGAGATCAGGGCATGATTCTGAAGCTTGCTAGTTCTTGCTAGTTTCTAGGTCATAATGGCCTTATTTTAACCTTGACAATCATAACAACAGTATCCAATATGAAATGACTTTAAGGATTAAGTGGTTCTTTGTATAAAAAATAACTTGTGAAGTATTATTAGTGTTAATTTTAAAAACTGGCCTTAGAACAACTAAAAAATGAGATATTTCAGGGGAGAGAGATTGGATCAGGGAAAAGAAAAATTCATTTGGTGACAATTATTCTTAGAATTTTCTACTTTATCAAGAAATGGAGTACACCTTTAAAATCAGTGTTGTGAGGAGTGTTGTCACGACCATGTATTAAGTAAAATGGTAGTATTTGATGCTATATGTTGATGAAGATAAGAAACCCCTATGATATCATTTATGTAATTAGGGTATTTATAGCTAAATGATTTATTATTCAATAGACTCCTCTCTTTTTACTTTATTGATGGAAACCCAGATTCCAAGAATGAAATAACTACTACTAATGGCAAATGCACAAAACTCATAGCTACCTCAATATGTGCATTTATTTCTTTCATGTCAACTTTTAATTTTCAGACTCTCCAAGATGTGGCTAAAAGTAACATGAGTATTTGTTCAGTCATGAAGTCTAAATGTGTGTTTATTATGTGGGCAATCCTCTCTGACTATCAATGGAACATTTCTTGTGTAACAGCTGTTGGATAAAGTCTGTAATTGAAGGCTTATAGTGTGGTATTTTGGTTCACATTCTTTTTTAAACATGAACCAGCTCAAAGCCTCATATCAAGTCACTCCCTGTGAAATTTAGAGTCCTATAAAAAAATTAGTATTTTAAACAAGCCTACTGATGAAAATCTATGTCTCTGGATGGCTAACAATAGTCACTCACAGAGGTCATTTAGAGTGTGAGGAAACATAAGGTTGTATTTTATTCTCAGTGTCCCAGAAGTCAAATTTCATGTTACACATTTAATGATAATCATTGCATTTGAATGAAAATGTAAATACAAACAGAAGTTATCCCATACTATTTTTGAGTATATATACCCATTCTCTTAAAAGCATATAACATCAGTACTTTGGGGAGGGAGGGAAGGGACTTTCCAGTCTCATACCATCAATAACTATCCTGATAATACCATTATCTTGTTTCTCACAAACTGCTGTGATTATAATAAAAATTTCTGCTTCCCATAATTTTTCATGAATGTAAACAGAAACATGGACTTACACTTCTGAGGTTATAAAAGATTGCTGAGTGACATGGACAAACATTGTTACCTGCCCAACGTTCAAAGCTTTTCAAAATGTCTTCCATTAAAAAAAAAAAAGAACTTAAAAAGTTGGCATCGGATCATGAATATGATGTTACTATTGTAACATATAGTAATTATTGTTACTATTGTAACCATCATGTTACTGTAGTAACTATCCTGTTACTATTGAGGTTTGAATTATTTTCATTGAACAGACTATGGGTCAGAGATCAGGTTTTTAATCACTGGAAAGAACTTTGACTGAAATCCAGTCCACAAGTAATCACATTTCCCTTTATAGTCAATGGGATTTATGTGTGAGAAGGCCAAACTAAGTGCAGTCTGAGGCTCTAGGGATTTTTTTTTTGTATAAACTTAAACAAACACCAAAGGATTTTTCACATGTGATCTTAGTAGCACTCTTGTATAGAAAAGACTTCCTTCCTGTGAATGCAAGGCATGAAGGATGTTTCCACCCCCTGATTGTTTCTCATTTCAAATCTGCCCTGACTTTTGAACAGCTGCACTGAAAAAAAAAAAAAGATTTTTTTTTTTTGCACAAGACTATCTATAAAAATACTCAACACGCATTCTTAAAGGGGAAGCACAAAACACATCAAAGAAATCACTCAACATAAGAGCAATATAGTACAAAGTATTCCTGCTTATATGTAAAACAGAAACATCTACAAAGACTATTTTTTTGGATACCAGTGGCAGAAAATTGGTTTTTGTTACCTACTATTTACTAAAAGCTTTTTTCTCTTTGATATAAGTCCAGGTTTCACCTCAACTTATTCTGTCAGGGCTGCAGTACACTGCAAATGTGATTAAATTCACTGCTGGAAATTAGGTCCCTAAAGTCCATTGATCCCCATGGAGAGTCTACATGACCTGACTTGGAATGAATATGTTCCCTTTGCACTAAGTTAAACTTCCTTCACAATTTAAAACTGTATAAAAGTCATTTAAAAAAATTGCTTCACACTAAGACTGAGCATAAACAGAAACCAATTTTATGTTTCTATTCCCCATGTGTAAAACAACTAAAAGTAGAGATGAGATTGTGGATTCTAGTACAATTGCAAACAAAATATTTGAGGTAAAGTCCAAATCCTTGATTCCTGCTTTATAAAAATGTTGTCTACTCTAGAGCAAATTGAACTTGTTTGACATTTGCAATGTGCTAAGTATGAGTGATTTTTGCTTATCTGCAGTCAGTTTTATTAATTTCCAAACTAATGCTATTGATTACTTAGTGAAATTAACTAATGTGTATAGGATTTTTTTAAAGAGGCTTCTAGATAATAATAAAGGTAAGCTAAAGTCTCATTTGTGATTAACTAGAAAAATAGGGTTGTAAGGTAACAACCAACACAACTATTTGTAGAAACTGAAGTTTGTACAGTTTTGTCTTTATCTCAGTAAATGAGCATGCAGATATATCTTACATGTGAAGATCTTAAAACTCGGTTAAATTATAATTCCAAATAGCACATAGACCCAAATAAATCACAGACTAGAATCCCCATTTTGAAAAATAATAGAAAAAGTCAAGGAGAGACCATTCAAAGCACCCTGAGTTAAACTTTATCGGTCATGGGGCTGGAACTCTGGGCCTGGCCCCTGTCCCTCAGTGAGGGTTCTATCACTTGAGCCTCAGCGCCACTTCCGGTTTTCTGGAGTTTTATTGGAGATAAGAATCTCACGGACTTTTCTGCCCTGGCTGGCTTTGAACCACGATCCTCAAATCTCAGCGTCCTGAGTAGCTAGGATTACAGGTGTAAGCCATTGGCGCCTGGCCCTACGTAAGTTTTATGGAACGAAAATATTCGTTGTAGGTGCTTAATAATTATTACTTGAACTATTGCGGAATTTTCTTAAAAATAAAAGCAAAAAACAAAACAACAACAAACAAAAGAAAACCCTGCTAGTATTTCTGGAGAAATATGAAAAGTGAATGTTAGGTGGAAAAGTTTTGCTGGTAATCTCTTTCTTTCTGTCCAGAACCACTATTGAACATGTCAAATAAGAAGAGTAATGCCACATTGATTGTAGATGGGACCTCCCAGGAAAAGAGGACAGGGGTCAAAGACATAAAGAAACGGCTTGCTTTTTGAGAGAAGAAAGGGGCGGGGGGGGGAACCAAGAAACAAAATAACAGGAAATTTGAATCAAAACTTGTGAGGGGTGATGCTGTAAGATGAAAGGATTGTAGAAGATAGGAACTCCTGACCACCCACAAGGCACGCAGTGCCCCCCAAAGGCCAGAGCCTGCCTCCTTTGCTTCACTTTTACATGCAGCATTGACCAGAGCTCCAGACCAGAACCTTCACCGATAAGGTAGTCATCTCATCCCAAACTGCTCTGTCCACCAAGCCTGCTGAAGAGGAGAGTCAATGAGATAGTGAAACAGTTTGATGAGTGAACTCCTGAGAGTTGGAAAGAAACCACGAGTTTTCCATCACTAGCCTTTCCACTGAATTTTTCATGCCGGGGGCAGGGGTGGGGGAGGGCGAGGGGTGGACATTAGCAATCTGAAAGTCCTTCTCTTTCTCAGCATCTACAGATTTACTCCTGGGGAGGCTAATTCCACACACCGATAAATAGCCCGAAGGCAGTACAGGTTCTAGGATGCTTCCAGGCATCTGTGGGAGAAGGGTTGCCGGCTTGCTGCCTTGCTTTCTGAAGGGCTGCAATTACGGGCTTTAATTAAGGAGGAGGAGCTGGGTTGCTAGCTCAGCAACGAAAGTGATTTTTTTTTTCTTTTTGGCTTATTTTCAGCCAAATGACTTTGATTCCTTCCAAAAAGGCAGTTCGCCTGTTTTATCACCCATTCTTCAGACTCGCTGCTGGCTCCCCGAGATGAAGGGCTGGACCCACTGCGCATGGCGCTTCCTGTTTGGTTCATTCAAGCGCCCGCCCCAAGCCTTCACTAAAGATTTGGGAAGGGACCACAACTCAGCTAGAAAAGGCTGCGGGCTGAAGACCCAGCCCTGCGAGCCCTACCCACCAGCCGGCTCCTCCTACGCCCAAGGTTTCGAAAGGCCGAGGAAGAAATGTCTCCGGTGAAATGTGGGTGTCCCGAATCTGATCATTCCCCTGGAGGGACTCCTAGTGCGCTCCCCGTGGGTGCTCGCAGTTTGGGGGCGGGGAGGGGGCTCGGAGTGGATGTAGGGTAGTCTGGGGAGAGCCCCCCGCCCCCTTCCGCGCCTTGTCTACTCTTCTTCCCCAGGGTCCCGAGTGAATGGTCCAACCCCCCCAGTCCTGTCGAGATGGAACCTCTTTGTTCAGGCTCATCCTTGGAGTCCACTGGCCCAGAAAAGAAGGAACAAAGGGCCTCTAGCCTCACGCTCCAGCCTCCGCCCCTCTCACCAGAGCTCCCACGAGCTCCCACGAGCGCGGGTCCACCACCTTCCCAAAGATGCCTTTGTCTGCCTGACAACCACAGGGCTGGCGTGGGTATATGCCCACGCCCCCAGCCACCACTTCCTTTCTGACAATTGGCATGACAAGATTTCCACACCATCCACTTCTGGGTAGAGGACCCTGCAGGGTGTTTGTATTTATTGTTTCCTTTCGTCAGTATAGACCTTGAAAAGGTCTAGCGATGAATAAAAATAGAAGAAAGAAAAGGGAAACAAAATCCTGTCCTCACTCGCGCGCCCCCTTTTTACTGTACTGCTGCTATCCTGATGCTTCACAGAAAAGCGATTCCTTCTGTGAGGATAGACCTGCGTTTTGCTCACTTAAATGGGAGGAGCAGGAATACTAAATGGCATGCAAGAAGTTGAGCCGGGTGTTAACGGTGTGTTAACGGTCCCGTGACACTTGCGTACAAACACGCACAAAACGACAGCCTCATTCTTCTTCGATTTAGCAATGGCAGGGAAAAATAAAAATAAGAGCGGCAGAGTTCCTGACAGTGGGTGCCTGGGAAAGGGAAGATCACGGCCACAGGACTTTGAACAGAGTTGACAGCTGGGTTTGGCATCCTCAGAAAAACGCTACGGAGCTATTCAGTAGCACAAAGTTGCACCACCCACTCCCTGGGTAAACTTCAAAGGCTCGGGGAGCAGGGGAAGGGGGCGGGAGGAAGGAAGTGTGATATTTAGAGAACTTAACAACGGGGCAAGGAGATTCTGAATTCATCTAGGCGAACTCAAGAAATAGAATCCAGCCTGTGAAAATACCAGCAACCAGTTTCCTTCTAAAACTGTAACCATGACACCCTGCGAGTTTCAACAGTGAAAGAGCAAATAAGGGAGTATCTTGGATGGTACTGTAATTTCAAACTCAAAATTAAAAAAAAAATCTACATCTTTACCTCCGGACCCCAACAAAGAGCAGAAAATCACAGGCGACCCGTGTCCTTGTTTTCCTCTCTATCTCTCTAGATAGAGCAGAAAAAGGGGCAGGCAGCCTTTTGGAGAATAAAGACATCTCGCTTGAGTTCTGCCCACGGACTGAAAGCACAGTAGCACACGAGTTCTTTGTTGGCAGTTCTGCATTTACTTCTGCTTGGGTAAGAAAAGCACCCAGCGCCAATAACAACTGACTCCACCGCACCGGGCAAGTTGAACTCCTACCAGCAACAGCACAAGGAAAGCATGCATACCACAACAACAGCCTTTGTGATTTAATGCACGATACCACCAGCCACACACGAGCTCACACCAACACACCCACTATCCCAACACCATCACTGTAACCCGTCTGTGCGCACACTTCATGTATGGCGTGACTTTTTGTTATATCCTGAAAGGAAGCTTTGCATTTACCCGACGAGTTGCGTCTCCTGGCGCTCCTCAGTTCTTGCTATTTCTTTTGTCTTATAAAAGATCAGGAGCAGACTTATAGTGCAGATCGTCCACCTCTTCCTAATGGAGCGCATCTTGGCTGCCTGGGAAAGTCCTGGTTGTCCCGTTTCCCGCACCTTGGCTGGATTTCAAAGCTCCGTTTTAGGGAAATAGGCAAGGGAGGCGGCTGGGGGAGGGGGGGTGTGATCTAGGGGGGGAAAAAAGGCGAAGAGAGCGCGGAATGGGGATCCCAAGATCAGGTCGCTAGGGTCCTCTAGGGCCGGAGCTCCTCACTGGTCTTCCACCGGTGCCCAGCGGCCAGCCGCTCAGTTCGCGCCAGCCAGCGCAGCCCCGGTCTCTCTGCGCCGCCTCCCAGGGGCTCAGGTTTCTTTTCAAATGTGACACCTTGTGCTTCGGAGGTGGCGGCCGCTTCTGCAGCTGGGTTCGGGGGCGTCACTGGCCCTTCCCTCTAGCTAGCAGGGAAATGATGAGCAAAACCAGCCAATCGCCAAGCGGAGGGGGCGGAGGCTGCTGTTGCCTTGCGATGCTGCCGGCAGCTTGGATAGTAACGTAGCAGGCTCAGTCTGCACCGTGTGGAGAGAGGAAGCTCACACTCACACGCGCGTGCTATCACACACACACACACACACACACACACACACACACGATCTTCTAGGACATTAAAGCGTCAGATTTCTGGACACAGAAACCCTAGATGCTCTGTGGACAGCGTATCTCAGCTGGAAAAATGATGAGAGTCGCGTCCCATGGGAAGAATGCTTTGGATAAAGCTGGGAGTTCGGGGTTGGTAGCAAGAGGAGTTGCTTGGCTTTTTGTTTGTTTGTTTTTTGTTGGTGTTTTCCCCAGCTTCTTTGCTAAACGTTCAAAGGCGTACAGGCAACAGCACGCCCTCTGAGGTAGGTGGAAGGGATCTGGAAGGAAGAAGGAGGGGAACGCTGGTCATTCCGTGTACAAATCAACCTGGTAAGTACAAACACGTAGAGGAGCCAATTAGCGGATCTGTCGCGCTGACCGGGTGGTGGATAACATGAGGAACTCGGCTTACGAATCTGCAAGACATGAAGTCAGAGGTGTCATCCGGAACTTTATAGCATAATGATGTGATTCGTTTATTGTGCTTTGAAACTCCTCACGAAGAAGTTTAAAAAAAAATCCTCATGTCTTTTACCCTTCACTGCAGAAGACAGGATTACCGGGAAGAACTGCTGCCTACAGACACGTTCACATGCTCAAACAAGCAGAAAAGGAAAGGGGGGGGGGAGAAGGAAGGGCAAAAAGTCTCATCGATAAGTATCTGAACATTAGACGTTTCTCCTCTTCTTGCTTTACCATTTTCTTTCCTTTTATCGTGTGCTATTCACCCTTTTTGAATTCTGTATTCCAGTTTTGGGGGTGAATTCGTTTTCATTAATCTTTGCCTTCATATCTCACTGGGAGAAATGCTTGTTAAAGACAGTGGTAACACATCTCACTTCTGGATTTTGCTGTGGAGCTGGGACTCAGAAACGGCATAGAAGGCAATGTCTGGAAGTCAGATTTCTCGTGTTGCTATGCACTGGTCCCAACATCACAGAGACTTCTGATTCTCTCTGGCCTTGAATTGTTCTCTACTCAAGTTGAACAGTAGTTCTGGTAGCTATCGACGCTTGCTTTTCGGGGTTAAAACCTTTCAGTGCTTAAAAATGTGAGGCCCATGACCATTCTTCAGTACAAGAGCTGTACATCCCCACTTACCTGGATAGACAGCTTAAAATAGCAACAGCCAACATCTTTGTTTACAATCACAAAGTTCCGGGGGCTGGAGGTGTGGCTCAGCTGTACAGTGCTTGCTTAGCTGTGGGAGCCTCTGTGTTGGATCCCGTGCACTGAAAACATCTGAAAAGGGGGGATATCTAATAATAATTGCTACAGCTCACTTGTGGTTCAAAAAAGTTTCAAATATCCCAGTTTTCAAAAGCTTTGTCTTTACAGAAGAGTGAACTAAAAGGTTGGATACAAAATGCCCCAAGGAGCAATAATTATGAGTCTTTATTGACACTACAAGTGGCCCACTGGGAGTCTTTGAGTTTATTGATGTCTAGACAAATAGTGCTTGCATTAATGCATTTCTATTACACTGACTCCTCAACTAGCTGAAACAGCAAGATTAAAGTCACTTCTTTCTTAAGGGGAACTGAAAGATGAAGTGCGTCATGGTTTGGATGCTAAATACTCTATAGTAAATGTTGAACTTTGTACAGTATACAAACCTATTTTGGACTTTAGATAAAGCTTAACTCTTACCAGGAGAATGCAATTAAATTCTCCCAGAATTTCTTGAGGTGCGTCAGGTAAACTAAGAGGACACAGAAACATAGGGATGAGAAACACCATCTAAGCAGACAGAAACCTGAATTGTTTAAAGAGGAACAGCTTTTAATCTAGATAATTTGCAATATGGTACCAAGAACTAGATGTGCAATTGAAAATATACACTTGGTATCTAAATAAGTATCTGGTATCTTGGGTAGAATTAGATAGGCAGGGTGTTTAAGCTTTTGCTACCAGGGAAAGGGAACTTCCTGGTGGAGGGTACAGAGATTTTAAGCTTTCTAAAGGCTAAAGGGTAACAAGGGCAGAAGGGTAAATTAGTGAAGGGAAAGGAATCTTGTACAGCCTCAGACAGGAATAACTGAACAACGGTTCTTAGGGCAGGTCAGTATAGTTAAAAGAGGAAGTAGGAAGGAAGAACATGAGTTTTAGTGTGATCTTATGATTTTGCAGCCCCACAACTTGAAATAATCTTCCTAAACCAGAAAGCCCAAAGGAAAAAAAAGTTTTAATTAATCTTTGCAGCTGTAAATAACACTTCATCCAAATAGGAAAAATTCAAACTCAGCTGCTAATCTAAATAAACTCTAAGAACTAGATAGAGAAGGGCATAAGACAAAATTAAATGTCCAGAAGAGAAAACTTGAACTTAAAAGTTGTTATATCTGATGTTGATAGGTAGAGAGGCAAATTTCTGTTGAAGAAAACAATTCTGAAAGGTGATAATGACTCTGGGAGACTCAAGGACTTTGGCTTCCTACAGTAAAACAAGTTGAAATCTTTGGGTACAATGTAATATCATAGTGAGATAGAAAATATGTATCCATATACACATTTGTCACTATTCAGAACAGTTCTGAAATTACTCATATTGCATAAATAAATAGTGCATTTGGTTCTAGATGCTGTCTTAATGCAAATGCATGTTTTGTTTGCTTGACTTTGCTCTCAGATTCAGCTTGGGAGAAATGGACTGTTTCAGTCCCATTGGTGTGTTTTAATGACACATCACAGGTGTTTGTTTGCTGTTTGGTTAGTTCAGTTTATTGATATACTGAGACTATAATGCTAGTGATTCATCCTCATACTGTGAGTATGTGACTGTGTCTTGACATTAGCAATGGTATATATATATATATATATATATATATATATATACACATATACATATATACATAGATATATGAATAGATTGTTTTAAAATAGTAATAGGTTTACTTCCCCCAAAGCAGAAAATAAACATTTCTCTGATACCCAAATCTACACATTAGCAGCTTTCCTTATGATCAATTTACATATATATGATGTAATATATATACATAAATATTACAATCAATGTACATAGATTAGATTATCATGCCATTATCATCTGCATTCCATAGTTCACATGAATATTGTTTTCTTGGTCTTGTAAATTCTATGGATTTTGACAAATGAATGACATTTATCTGCTATTAATGTATATTACCACATAGTTTCACTGTCATAAAATATCTCCATTCTTCGGCCCGAGTCCCTCTCTATTGCTAATCATTTTACCATGACAAACTGGCAATTCTATTTACTGGGTAGACCTATACTTTCTTAACAAAATGTGGGGATTTGAGTGATAGTAACTGCTTCAGTCTGAAAGGCTTGCTGAAGTGAAAAAAGACATTTTGTCATTTCCCTGTTGTAAAGCAGGATAGCAAAATACTGTATTGAAAAGGGCCTGCTGGGCTTGATGTACTTTGAGGCTTGAAAACCAGAGATAATCTTAATTCTGAGAATCAGAACACCCAGACACAGTGCCAGTTAAGAGATGATCACCATTGCTGGTTGTGGAGAAGAAATGTGTCTGAATTGGCTTGGAAAAGAAATTTGAACAGAGGGAATCTCTGGCAGCAAAAATATGTGGTTGTTGGAAGCCCAGTTTTTTTCCAGGTGAAGAGAAAAATCCCTATCCCTGAGGATCATGGAAAAAATAATACTAAGCCAATGAATGACATAGTATTCAGATTCCAAGTCCTGCCACCTGGCTTCTTATATTGTCTGCTAGGTGAGACTCAGAAAAAAGAACTCATTTTCTTAAAGTCACATGATTTACATAACTTGATTTAGGACTACTAGGCCAAGTCTGAAAGCACTAAGACTCATCTCTAAGGATTTTATCTCAGCATGTGTTTGCCTAAAGGCCCTAAGTCCAGACTCTCCAGATCATATGACTTCAACCCCCTATTCTCCAATACAGGGATGTTTATTGCTCGGCAGTGTTTAAGAGCAATATAACACCTCCCCAGGGACTATTGCCAGTGTATCCTTGCACCCATGGAAAACTCAGAGCTCCAAGTCCAGACTCTGAATTAGGTAACTTCCCCTCAGGGAGGGAAATGGTTAGATAAGTCTGAAAATACAGAAATCAGAGGAAGAGGTTCTGGGTCCCCTCAGTTTTCTCTTTACTAGTACAGAATAAGTGTTCTAGTTGACACCCCATTTTACAACACATTCAAGGAACTTCCTTAGTCTTAGATGCTTGCTATTTCTGGCAAGTGCAAATTGAGGAAGAAAAGGTTTAATGCAGTGAGACCTGCTTAGTGCACAGGCCATAAAGCTGACCACAAGTCCGCAGCAGTTCTAAGCAATTAAGGAAGGAAATTTTTCATATTGAAAGGAGCTCAGAAATGGACAACTAACTCTTCTGTAAGATACTGAAGCTAACTTGATCTTGATATGAGCAGAGCTGAGGATCAGCCCCAGTATCCTGAGAAGTGCTAGGGCTTGGTCACTGAGCTCTACCTCCCTACTTCCTGCTACCAAAGATCAGTAGATAGAAATAAGATCTTACCCCAGGCATTGCACTCTCTTGCCTGGATATTGACAACATTCCAACTGAAAGATTAGAATTGACTAACTATCTAAACAAATGGTTTGTCTTCAGATGCACAGAGTTCAATTAAGAAACAGTAAAAAATAAAAGCAACATGACTCTTCCAAAAATATGTGTAATTCCACAGCACCAAACATTAATGATAGTGAAATGAGTAAAATTTCAGAAAAAAAATTTTTATAAAATAATTCTAAGAATGACCAAATTAAAGAGGACATGAATAGAAACCACT